CACACACACAGACACACACACAGACACACATAGACTCACACAGACTCACATACACATACACACACACAGAAACATACACACACTCACACACACGCTCACTCACACAGAAACACACACACACAGTCCACCCACACACACACACACAGTACACACTCACGCTCACACACACACGCTCACACACACAAGCTCACACACACACACACTAATATAAACAGATGATTTTCTGTATGTCTCAGTGTCTCTGACAGTCATTTCAGCCGCATGCAGCACATCATTCATTCATGTGGGTTCATTGTGCTGAGATCGACTAGACTAGAGCGTGGAGGTCCACATGTGAATGACCTGAACCCGTGTGTGTGTGTGTGTGTGTGTGTGTGTGTGTGTAGGCTGGTGAATCAGAGGCTGCTGCAGGGTCAGTCTCAGGTGGAGGAGCTGCAGAAGTCTCTTCAGGAACACGGATCCAAAGCAGAAGATGTGAGTCCAACAGTTCAGCACATCAGTAGAAATACAGTAGTGGTGCTGTTGATCTGAATGTGAGGAGGCCGTGAGTACGAGATCACAGCTCATCTCTGCAGTTCAGAAAGACAAACTCGTATCCACATACACTGTCTGACCAGATATAGATTATTTCCACTCTGCCAACACAATAATTACTCAAGAGGCCAAAGCATCCTGTGCAGAAACATCCAGAGTTAAAGTGTCCTAATGAAGCGTCTCGATCATCCAGAGCTGCAGCAGATCTTCTGAACGTCTCACCGTTTACAGGCCTGTCTGTTTGTCCACACGTGACCGACGAGTGTGATCGTCTGTTCTTCATCAGCCCGTCTCACTGATCAGATCTGGGCCTTTCACACAGGACACACGTTCACATGATCTGACACGCACATCACCGTCATGTTAACGTTCAGCTTTAGCGTGTCCTGTGCTCGTTCTCTCTGCATGTTGTGTGTTCCTCCAGCGGGATGTTTGTCGAATGCTCTCATCTTTGCTCCTCCGCGCTAACGCTCTGCTGCGTGTCCTTCCTAACCTGTTTGTGTGATGCACTCATGATGTAGCATGATCCAGGTGTGCCATCAGTCGTCCAGACGCCTTCATCATCATCAGAAGCACACGCGTGTGTCCGTTACTTTAGTCTGAGCGTCATCCGTCTGTGTGTGGTTGGTAACAGGCTCTGCTCTCTTCTGTCTGTGCATCGAATCTCTCTCCGTCTGCTGTGAGTACGGTCAGGCATCATGCAGCTCTGTGATCGCATGCGCCGCTCAAAGCACACGCGTGTGTCACGGCTACTGCTGCTGCTGGCTCTCTGTGAGCTGATGAAGCAGAGCATGGGAGAACACTGGACGTGTTTCTGCTGGCGAATGCTGAGAATGCTGAGTGAAGACGATCCGGATCTGATGTGTGTTTGAATCCTCCTGCATACTCAAACTTTGATTGTCTTATTTTTAGGAGTCCAGTTTGATCTTTATACTCAGTATTTTTAATAAATGACGGCTGGGTTCAAAAGATTCAAAAACAGATAGAATAATGAGGTTTAATCTGAGTAAAGTTATATTGACCATATTGTCCTCTAGAGGTGTTTAAATTAATTATATCTACAGTAGACTAGACAGCAGGTTATCTAAACAACTAGTCAGCTGTTTAAGGCTGGTTTAGGTTTGTGTTTGACAGACATGCAGGTTTATTTCTCAAATCAGCCCTCATAAAACTACATACATCTGGAAGATTGTGCACACAAAAACATCCACTAGTCAGCTGGGTCATTACAGTTAACTAAACCTAAAAACATTGTTACTTTAAATAAAATAAACATGAACTGAAATAAAATATTTAAAACAATTATTTCCACTAGTTTCCAAAGCAACATTTATCGTTTTAATTTAGTTTAACTTGATGTACTAAAATAATAACTGGACAAAAACTACTAAAAATGACAAGAACATTTATAGTAAAATTACTAAAGAAAATAAGAAAAAAAAACTCAAAACTCTATTAATATCTCAGCTGTACTGAAGGAACAGTGGTGTCTGATCACATTCATATCTCTATTCCTGTGGTGTTTATGGGAATCATTAGACTGTTTATTCATGTATTTGCTCTGCTGTTGGTTGTTGATTTGTGTTAGTGTGTGATTGTGCGTGAGTTCTTCAGCGTCCTCTGCTGGACACTAACACCAGCCCTCTCCAGCTCCCTCAGAAGTGCACACTGTGTAGGGCGGTTGTGTTCCGCTGGAGTCCAGCAGGAGGCGCTGCAGTGCTTCACATGAGCATTAATGAGTGTGTTTGCTGGATGAACTTTAACATCTCTGCTTCTTCTGCTGCTGCAGACGGTGATCATGAAGAGGAAGTGTCAGGAACACCTGTGAGTATCAGCAGGAAGTCACAGAGACTCAGTTCAGCGAGAATGACTGTTTGAGAGTGTGACTGTTCGAGAGTGTGACTGTTCTCGCTCTGTAGGGAGAAATTAATGGACGCCACTAACGAGCTTCAGAAGAAGAGTGCAGCGATCGAAGAGCTGGAGAACAAACACTCTTCCAGTGGTGAGACTCACTGATGATCATACATGGAAACGTGTGTGTGTGTGTGCGCGCAGACTGTGGTTAAACGAGAGCTTGTTGATTGGTTTCAGATCAGAGGATTGAAGAGCTGGAGGACGCGCTGAAGAAGAAGGATGAAGATATGAAACAGATGGAGGAGAGATACAAGAAATACCTGGAGAAAGCCAAGAGTGTACGTCTCACACACTCTTCTCCCTGCTTCCTGTGTGTGTGTGTGTGTGTGTGATATTAATGTTAATGCTGATGATGTGTGTGTGTGTGTGCGCAGGTCATTCGTACTCTGGACCCCAAACAGAATCAGGGTTCTGCTCCTGAAGTTCAGGCTCTGAAGACCCAGGTGCATGAGCGCGAGAGGATGCTGATCTCACTCCAGGTCACACACACACTCACTCACTCTCACTCACACACACACACTCTCACTCACTCTCACTCTC